CTCCTTTTACAATGAGGCTACTTAACTGATACTGTAATTTTAAAAAATTGCCTGAGTAGTTTGACAACTGGGTGATTTATCCCCACAGTTAAAAAGATCTGCCAGTGATTTGGCTTTCAAAATGGATATTTTTTTCTCCTGTGTCACACTGTGACGATAGCGGAACCCACTTAGGAGGGTGTCCTATTTAATGGTAATGGTAAAAATGTGAAGAGTAGCGTGTGGAAGCCTTTTAGGGTTATGGCACCGGTGCATATGAGGCACATGTATGTGCACCATCTCAATCATCACACAGGTGAGGAAAGCAACTGAATTCTCCAGTGCTTGTGCTTGCCTGATGTTGCCCCTTATTTTTTCAGACGAAAAACTCAAAACCAGCAGTGACTGGTTGATAGCCAGGTAACGCTGCATGCTCTGGTCCTAGCGGGTGTCTTGGTAGCCTCAGATTTGTTGGTGATGATTACAGGCTTCTGTGCATTCCAGAGACATTAAAAGTAAACCAGTCAATTTGAGTTAAACAATCTACCTCCAAGGGCCTTCTTAGGCCTGAAAATGACTCTGTTAAGTGACGGTGACTGGACCTCAAGACAAAAGGGAAGAAGTTTGAAATCAACCTGTCACTGTTAGTGCAACCTGTTGCATCTTCACTGAGGCCACAGGCTCTGTTGGGAGCCTGGTTGCATGAAAACCTTTTCTACTCCTCAGTGTAAGATCCCCTGTTTTGAGAAGAATGGCCTGGCAGAAGCAAGCATCCATTTGGAACAGGATAGCCACAGCTTCTCCAGCACAGTGGGTGGGAAGTCAGCAAATTTAGTGGGGAATGGGCAACGCTTTGTCTTCACTGATTTTCAGCTTCTTCCCTGTCTAGTATTATGTTGTTCTGACGGATTTTTTTCATGCAGAGGTTGTTGCCTCATCATCTATGTATTTTCAAAGCAGCAGGTCACATAAAACTTCTCTTGTATTTCCTACTGGGGGAATCATGATTCTCATGGTTCAGAGCTTATTTTTGTGTGTGATTAAAGATGCTTGTAGATTGAGTTTGGATTTTGCAGAAGAATAATTTCTTTATCTAGTTCAAGGAGCTCTATAAAAATCATGCAAGAGTCAAAATCTTTGCCTGCAGGCGCCAGCAGTTGTTATAGTGTACCAAAAATATAGTGACATGGAAGCAGATGCACCACCTGCCCATAAAAGCAGAATTACCATGTGTGTGGTTTTTAGCATTTATAAGTTTGTTTCAAAAATCCTCTCACTGAACATTTTACACTGCTGGGGGGAGGAAATTCTGTGTATTGAAGAGGAACATGAAAGGGCAGGTGGGGATGGATTCCAGCTTTGATGGATGGCACAGGAGGCATCACCACGCTCGTGGTTGTCCCAAGGTCTCTGTGTTATGTTCTGCACTCTCCTGGGAACTGGTGAGGAGATACTGGGAGCACCCTCAGAGATACTGGGAGCACCTTTAGAGGCAAAACCCATGGCTGAGTTCTGGATGTAAAGGAAACTGATTAATTGCAAACTTCAAGTTCATTTGATAAATGAATGGTGATCAGATCTTACACCAAACCAGGTTATCTAGCCTTAATACAGCTCTGCAAACTATCCAAAATATGAGAAAGTGACACAGTTAAAATGTGGTTTAGGCTCATGCAAAGGTTTGTGTCTTGGTATTGGGAGATGGAACCTGAGGATAATGTCTTGGTATAAAATGAAATGTGGTGGGGTGATAAAGGACCTCTAACTGAATGGTTGGGGTTGCTTCATGAGGCCATTCATTACAAAAATTTTTGCAGTAGGAAAAAAAGAATCAAAGAGTTTTATTAGGTGAATAAAAAAATCTGAAAGTTAGATAAAAAAACATTCCAAAGGTGGGACTGCTGCAGTATAAAGAAGGAATTTAACCATGTAGGGCTCATTAAAAAAGAGTCGGATGTCTATAAAAGACATTAATTTCTTGTTGCATTTGAAATTTTAATTAGAATATATTATATTTATATATATTACTACTTTTTCTTGATTTCTGCAGATTTCTAAAGTCAATTTAAATAATTTCCAAATGCTTTTTTTTCCCCATTGGTCTGTATTGAAATTTCAGCCTCTGGATTATCTCAGATTGTTCTGTACCTTCACCTGGGCTTTTATTCTGTCTCTCTCACTTAGGGTCTGGCAATACTCTATGAAATAATATGTTTAAGTCTAGAAAACATATTTTTGAAGACACAATACAAAATTATATAGATACAGACACATTTTTGCTGTGATATACTTTACAGGGTCACAACACTAACTTTGATGCTTAAGCTTTTGTGAAATAAAAGCTTATTCCTCCCCACTACAAAAAAAAAAGTGTACTTCACAAATGTTTTCTTGAAGCTTTTGGCTTGTATGACTTGGAAAAATTACTGTAGTGCCATTTACGTGATTTTGCATATTCAAGTCATTAAAGAAAGGGGGAAATGTTTTCTACTAAGAAATATTGATTACTGTAATTTTAGAAATTACAGACTGAAAAAAAAGTCAATAACATAAGTTTGCAAAGAATAATGCATAAATAAATACAATATTGTTAGGGATGAAGTTATAAAGACCCTTAAGAAAGTTCTAATAGACTGAGGGAAGAGGCGTGGTATGAAGAGTAATTAGGTGGGATAGATGTCTTTAACAAGCCACCACACCTTTCAGATGAGATTTTCAAAGAGTGTGATGGCTTTTGGGAATTGTGGGCTCTCGGAGCAGCTGCTCAGCTGCCTGGGGCTGGACGTCACACACGCCCCTGGCAAACCACAAGGAGGCCTTTGTACAGCCTGTGGCTGGGATAGGAAGGATACGTTGACTTCTGGCAGCTCCAGAGAACTTGGTGAGCCCCCACCCTTTAGAGGGAAGAAATAATGGGCAAAAGGTCTTGTTTTTATTGCCAGGTCAAGATTTGACAAGTTGAAGTCACATGTTTCCACAAAGGGCAAAATGTGGAGAAAACTGGGTTGTTTGTGTATAGACTGCTCATGTATTTACAGTTATTTCAATATCTAGTCCTTATATCTGTATTTCTTACTCTGGAGCACTCTTGCCCCCATATTTATTGAAAATTGATTCTGATGGATATCAGTAAATATTTCATTTGTATTATTTTTTTAAAATTTAAATTAGTATGAAGTCCCCATCTGCTTTTGAAATGTTGGAGATCAAAAATGGTGCTTGAATAAACACAGTAGTAATTTATGTAATGCCCTGGCAGTCTCAGGTATTCAGCACTGTCCAGTGTTCCTTCCACTAGATGGATTTTCAAAAGCTGGCTTCTGTATTTCACACCTGCAAACTACAGCAATATTTAGTTGGAAGTGCTGTGTGTCTGCAATTAATTCTGAATGCAGAAGTGAAATCTGGCCTCATGCATCAAAGAGCTTGGAGGCCATTTCTCTGGTTATTTGCTCAGCTGACTGTGTTTGATCAGAGCTGATGTTCTCAGTGGCACGGAGAGGCTGACATACTTACAGGAATGCATTACTAATTGCCAACACAGTGCAGAATAAATAAGTCTGCGGCTTTTCCCTATTTTTCTTTTTTTTAGTGCTTTTTAGGGCATTGGTTGATTCCCTGTGTTCTATTTGGCAACATTATATTTAAGTTCTGTGGGAACAAGGCTCCGATTTATATTTCAAAGGTATTTACCTTGTTGTATTGTGGCCTTACTCATTTTATGGCCTGCAACTTCCTGGGACAAACTTCATCCAAAATAATTGTCAGTCTCAGGTCTTCTGCTCGTATTACATTTTCCTTGTCCCTTGTGGATTAAGATTTTCTGAACAAGCCCTGTTGAAATCCCTCCATACAGTTACATCCAGTTTGTCTTGACTCTTTTGGCTTCTCGTGGAATTTCCTTTCCCTTTAACTCTGTTTATAGAGGTTACACATTGCTTTCATTTCATGCCTATTTTCTATATAGCCTGATGAAATTAAAATTAAAAAATAAAGCATTAAAAATGTGGAGGACCTACCAGAAAAAATGTTTAGTAATATGACTGGTTGGTGCCCAGGGCTGTGGGACTGATCACATGGTTGACACTCAAAATTAAGTGCCTGAGCTTGTATATTTTGTTGGGATATATACAATACTGCTTTAGCTGGTAGCCCCTCTGGAAAATATTTTGAGGTGAAAGCATTTTTCACACCATGTGGATCTAATAATAGTAATAGTGGTGGCAGTTTCATAGCAGTGTGAGAGGAAGAAGGTGAAAAAAGGAACACCGAGCAACAGCAGCTACCATGTTGTACTGTGGTCACCTTCTGGCAAGGCTAGGAGTGGCCAGGACAAAAACACATGGAGCACATAGCACAGAAACAGGAGTTAATATCCACAAAGGTAACAGGAATTGCAGAGGTTTTATGAGGACCTGGATTGGTATGAAGCACCTCTAGATGTCACTGCAACATTGTAAAATGTAAGTAAATGAAGGCCACAGAGCTGAAGTTACGGCTTTTATACTCCAATTCCTAGTTACTGTCTCAGGCAGCCTTTAATAAATCGTTGCATCATTAAAGATGTCATTACCAGATGTTGATTAAACAGCAAGGAACCTTTTGATAAGTGCCAGTAAGATTGTTACTGAGCATTTTCCTAGAATATTAAATTTTCTGAGATTTGGTTTAACCTAGTTTTTTAACAACAAAAGCTAGGGCAGGTGATGCCTGAAGCATCCAGCTGATTCCAGGGTGCTTCTTTGGTTTAGTCTCTGAGGTTCAGTCCGAATCTTTTCTAGGCTGTTTTATGGCAACACTGATGCTGATTACAACCAAGATAATTTCTCTTGCTTTGCACTGGTATCAATTCAATTAGCTTGTAGTGATTAAAATAAGGACAATCATTTATAGGAAATGTGTGAGTTAGAACACAGAGTATTTGCATTTGATAAAAAAAAAATCAGGCTGGGATTTCATGAGAACCAATACAATATGTGCACTGTATAAATTGACTAATATGTCAATTGCCTTTTTCACAGGTCATCAAAGAAAAGTCACATTTCAATGAAACAGAAACAAAAGAAAAGAAGCCACCAGATTCAACAGGTTAGACTATTTTTTTTCTCTGATCAGCTTCTAGTTCCTAAGAAATAACACAGAAATAGCAATGACTTTTCCTGAGCAACTGCAGTGAAGTTGCTTGAGTTATATGTGTGTTCATCAGCATGAGTGAGCACAGGGTATCCAACAGCTCAATAAGGTGCTTTGCAAGAGGAGTTCATTAACCTTGACTTGGCTGACCATAACTTCGAGTGAGAGAAACATTTTCTAGTGCTGTGTCTCAAAGAAAGCATTTGGGACACATGAAATCCCAGTTTTAAATAAGTAGTCTTCTCTTGCTTAGGAGACACTTGTACTGACCTTGAAAGTCAGAGAGGAAAACAAATACCTAGTTCAAAATTCAACAGATTTTATGCTAAGTGTGCAGCCCTACTTTAATACTGTCAACTGACCATCAGAAAACCACTGACATGTTACTTTGCAATCTCTTGTAGATGGGGACATCCAGCAGAGTCAATCCTGCCCTCAGGAAGAAGAAGTTGATAAACTCAACAAGGAAAATGCCAAGAGGGAAAGTTCCCTTCTGCTTGAAGTGGATCCTCCCAAGTTTCATACTGAAGAGTCAGAGGAGAAACAAGAAAGTTTGTCTTTAGAAAGCCATTATGAATATAGGAGAAACTCTTTTCAGGAATCCTTCACTCCAGAAAAGCAGCAGGAAGAAGATGCTGTTGATGATGCTTGTCAAAAAATAACTGTGCAGGAGATAGAGAGTGAGTCCCCAGCAGCTGAGGAGAAAAAGGAACATCAGGTGCCTGAAGATGCACTTGAGGAACAACAAGAGGAGAAAGAGAGTGAAGGGAAGGAAAATGCTGATAAGAGTGAAAAAGGTGCTGAGGAAACACCAGCTCCTTCCCAAAAGGAAGATGAGGCAGAAAAAATTTATGATGAAGAGGTATCAGAGGGAAGGTAAGGTCTGAAACTGAAACTACACATTCTGAAGAGACCTTTGCTTCAGAAAAATGTGTAGTTCAAGTTTCAAGTCAAAGTGGCTAATTAATACAAATATTGGTGAAAATTTAGCCTAATACAAAAGTGAAAAATTTGTTTATGTCTCTGATCTAAGTGAAATTATACTCTTGAAAAAGCCAGGCAAACAACCCACCACACATGGTATTAGCATTGTGCTGTAGTTCTTTGCTTGGGAAATATGTTAGGAACACTGAAATTACATTATGCTATTCTTTTTCTCTGAGGAGAATTCTCCCATGGTTATGTTTATGTACTGCAATGTCATGTAACATCAGCAAAACAGATCAGGCCATCTGCCAACTGGGAATTAACTTACTGCAAACGTAGTAATTTAAAAGACAACATGACAAAGTTTAAATAAAAAAATAAAAAAAAATAATAAAAAAATAATAAAAATTAAAATTTGCCCAGGCAATTGACCTAATAAATTTGTGTACTGAAATTCTATCTTTGCTGGGTTTAATATATAGTCTTTCATGGAAAAACAGGTTTAAGCCCTCAGGAGCCTGTATGAACAAAGGGGAATTTCAGTGCTCTCCCTTTCCTTTAAAGGCAAGATTGATAGCCTAATGTCAAGTTTAGAATACCTCAGGTGAGGTTTTCAGTAGCTGAGAAACATTTTGCTGTCATGATTAATTTAAGGCCCATTTTTATTTCTCAACATGAATATTAAACCAGTTAATTTTACACCATGAAACAAAATAGTTTAATGTTATTTGAATGCAATATCTGTGTAGGCATTTTTCACCTATGTTTCTAAAGTTGCTCTGCTTTAAGTGTACTCTGCACTAATACCATGTTTTGTCCTTGCAGGTGTAAACGCTGCGAAAAAGGTACAGGAAATTCTAGTTCAATCCCTGGGCAGACCTGCTAGTTTGGTCATAGTAGTAGAAGTGAGCATCAAGTGCATGATGAAAGTCTTGTCAAGGATGACAACAAAAAGAGCAGAGTAGTTGCAGAAAGTGCTGATGGCATATGTAAAACTATAAAAAGCTCTTAAAGGAAGTACCTTAAAGGCAAAGCATTTGATTCCCTTGGTGTTACAGCGATGAACAGAGACAGAGATCTGTAGAAGAGAAGGATTTTGTGATTCTAATTAGTAGGAAAAAAAGATGTGTGTGATAGCTCTGATGGGAAACGGGTTTTCATGGGCTGCATCTTAAGCTGATGAGAAGTAACACGATTCTGCTTGCTTTCATATTAGAGGCTTCTGCTCTGTCAGAAATTATTCAAAATTAATTTGCTTCTGCCACAACTACTCCACTAACACTATTGTCTCTCCCTCTTCTTTTAACAAACGATCTAAAATCCCTAAGTGTAGAGTGGAGAGAGAAATTATATCAGGTGTGGCAAACTTGGTCAGCCTGAGGAAGTGTTGAGAATGGGTGTTAACAGGGAATGTGCAATGCTGTGGACATAGCCTGAAAAACCAGCTTGCTCATTTTCATACCATTGTAATCTGAAGTGAGAACAACTGCAGGCTACAAAGTAAAGAAATACAGAGTTTTGTGTGTATGCCTGAATTATGCAGTCAAACAGTCAGATAAATGGTGCTCACGCACCAAACTTTGAAGCAGTGCTCACCATGGTGAGGCAGAGATTTCTAATATTAGACCTCTATCTTGAGAATTTCAGTGGCTATTCCTGTAAATGAAATTGTGGCATGTGAGGAGGTGGCCTGAAATACTTGGAAATATATGAGTGTGCATGTGCATACACAAGACTCAAGAAGAATTTATCTGCTTTTGGAAAGGGGGGAGAGTATGGGAGGGAAACATTTATTACAGGTTTGTGCTAGGTTTTTGTAGCAGAAAACAGGACATAACACACTAAAACTTTAAAATCCATAAACTGTTGTGAGCTCTGGGAGATTTTTATTGATGATGTTAAGGTTGTAGTGTCTCTGTTGGAGCATCTTTGATCTGCAATAGGAAATTGTTCTTGAACAGGGAAACATCTCTGGTATGCAGGAAAAGAATAATAGAGGGTCTGTCATGGGGAACATCTTGAAGGCAAAAACTCAAACATAGTTTGGAAAAGCAGTCTGGAGTCTTTAAAAGAATATTTTCTTGCCCAAAGTTTGGTAATGTTTTTAGCTGAGCTTTCAGAACTACATTTTCTTCTGTCACTTACATGCTGGTGCTGATGGAGTATGTGTTGTTAGAGTCAAATTTTGCCTTAGGTTAGAGGTTTTCTTGGCATTTTTTGGGTCTCAGTAACATGCAAAGACCCGTACTTACAGTAGTGCAATTCAAACTCTGCAGAATCCCAAGTAGGTGGCAAACTTCCAGAAGCCCCAGCTTTTCACAATTCCTTGACCATGAACTAACTTCCTGACCATGTAAGTTATTAACACTGTCAAGAAAAAATCTAGGTACACAGCTGGTGTCCTGGAAAAATGGACATTCACTGTGAATAAGGACAATCTACTGCCACATTAATGACCAAAATGTTCCTGCCAGCTACATGCTGTCATGGGGTTTCTTGTTTGTGTTTTTGATCATTTTCACTGGAGTAATGAATGATTTCAAAATTGCTCAACAAGCCTCACACAAAAAGGAGCTGGCATTCCAAACCAGAAAGCTCATATTGAAACACTGGGGCTGTAGCCCTCCCAAATGGTTGAAGAAGTATTTGTCACCTTGGTCAGCCAAAGGTCACTCTCAGGAGTATCAATCAAATGGAAAACAACTTGGGTATGAAACTGAAGTCACAACTGCCTGCAAAAAGTCCAAATTAGGTATGGAGGGCTGGTCTCCAGCAGGGATTTTGACATCAGGATGGTAGAAAGGTCCAGCATGTGGAGGTCCAGAAAGTAACACCCGAGACCTGCCAAAACTCCGTAGCTGCTGTAGTGCAATGTTGGGAACCATCCCTCCTCTGTGCTCCTCTTTACCTTTTATCTGCCATCTTTTTTTAAGGGCAGAAATTCTTCAGAGCAGCATATGAGAGTTTCCTTGTGTCCTGAGGCATACTGGAAACCCCAAGTGTCCATCAGGGTGAAACTCCCTCATGTGCACAAGCTCTAAATGTGATTTTTAAAGGTGATGACCACACTGTGGAGAAGGACAAGTTTTGTCTTTCAGTTGAGAAGGGGATTCACTGTCAACACCAGAAGCCAGGAAACAGCCTCTCTTAGTTGGGCCTGCAGGACAGTTGCTTCTCTTCCTACTCCCCCTGAGAGTTACAGTGCATACTCATCTATTAACAGCCCCTGAGGGGTTAAAAATTAAAAAATCAGAGATTAGGCTGAATTGCAGAGGCCCCTTGTGGGTATGAAGCTACGTTGGTATAGTTTAGTGGTCTTCACTTTGCCTCTCCCAACGGTTGTATGAAAGATGATAACTTAAAAAAAGGAGTCCTTGTCTCGGTGATGTAGCTCCCCAACAACCACCTCATTTCTGAGCCAGAGCTTATGGAATAAAACCCTTGTTCAATAACAGAGAAAGACCTGTCTATAAAGCTTACAGTAAGTGTATTCAGTTCTTAAATGAACTTATCTGGGGAAAAGAGGAACTAAAATATTGGATAGACAAGCACTGCCTGTGACCGCTCATATGCTCTCTGTCGGTTTTGTCTTTCTTAGATGATATTCCTACTCCACCAGCACCATTTGATCACCGGATTGTCTCAGCCAAAAGGGTGGGGATCAGCAATTACTATAATGTCAACAAGGATGAAATTCTGGGAGGGTAAGTCAGGTGTAGTAAATCATCTTGGAAAGCAAGGCACAAATTTACAGCCAAGAACCCTGGGAGGTGAATGGAGTCAACATGCCCCACTAGAGCTGAAGTCATGAAAGTCTAAGCTCTTAAAGTGCTTTATAGAGGGATGAAAAGAGGAGGCTGGTTTTATAGTGAGAGTGAATTTTGGCTTGCTATTTGGCACCAGCAGTCTTGGCCTGTATTTGGCATTGTTCTAGGCCAGCCAGATGCCCTCAGGCTCTATGACAGGGCTCCCAGGATGCTGAAATACTTTATCTCAAATTACAGCCAGCAGTATGTAGACACATATTGTAGTCTTCTACCTCTCAGTGAGTCTCATCCCTGAAAACACATGCTTATTTTCAGATAGATTAGCAGGCTGATCTGACAGGCCATGGAGTTACTTATCTCTTGTGCTGTCATTGTTTAGGAGAGTGGGATATTATAATTTTCATGGCAGCATATTCTTGGATAAGGCTTTGTATCATCAAGAAAACAAAACTCTCTCATGGAGGAGGAGAATGATGCGATGGAGAGGGGCAGATGGTGCATAGAAGTGAGCCATTGTCCTTACAGTATTTCCTTGACTTTCCTGGGATTAGTCATTGCAGGTTATGACGTGAGTATAGTGAATCATATACAAGTGGGGTAGTACCAGACAGAACACTGTGTGATGCTGATGTGCCTAAATGAGTAGTAGTAAGTACAATCTACACAACTAAATAGCAACAACAGAGTGATTGAAATGAAAGCCAATAGGGAGAGGATGATTTATGGTTGTTTATAGTGAAGTTTACACTCGGAGTTGATACCTGTACCACTGAATGATGTTTGTTTCTCCTTTTTTTCTAGAGGGCGTTTTGGGCAAGTGCACAAATGTGAAGAGAAATCAACAGGTCTCAAGCTGGCAGCCAAAATTATAAAAGCACAAGGTCCAAAACAGAAGGTTGGTGGAGAATGATATTAGTCTTTTGTTCCCCAGTGGATCACACACTGTTCTTCAGCTACACATCAGGCCATGACCAAGTATCTCACAAGCCATCACACTCATAGGACCTGCTTCAATACCATTAATTCCAGTTCTATTTCCCTTCTCCTCCAAAACTTCCAATGGCTCATGAAAGTACTATTTTGGCAGTGTTTTCTGCTTCTTTTAAATATTATATTATTTTTTTCCGTTCTGTTGCTAATTCTATTAGTGTGTTCTTTAATGGTAAAAGCATTTTTCAGGCCTGTGACATAGTGTACTCCGTCCCAAAGCACACTGAGACCTTTGCTGCAATGACTTGATCTCAGTGGGGGCGATGCTGATAGCAGACATGATCTGGGCACCTGACATCAGCACAAATACAGATGAGAGGAATTAGTCTGGGCTGTTTTGCAAACCTCTTGGCCATCTGGGACTGGATTTCACTGGAAAGACATGCATGACATCCTTTGTGTGACATGGGTGCCATCAAGGGCATTCAAGAGTGCGATTTGTCTCAGGTAACTGAGGTTGCTAAGGCATAGCTGTGGCCAAGCTGATCTCTAAGAATTCCTTTATGGTGAATGGAGAGAGACTGACATCATCATTCAGTGTGTCTAAAATAGTTGGGCTGAATGGAGGTACCAGTCTCCTGCCTCTGACTGCAAAGTTAGGTTTTGAGGACTGTCCTGGACTTCTCTCAGCTTGATTTTGTACACCTACAGCTGTTGGAACAAAATCCTCTTCTGCTTCTTTTTTCCTTTACATCCCTGGGAGCCTGCCTCTTGTCCATATGGGCTCTCCTTTTCCTTTTCCAGTAAATACCTTAGGATACCTAAATACCTTAGTATTTGAGCTCTGAGTTCAAGTCTGTTAGTTCCTGTAGCTTTGACATCTGCTGCAGGAGCCCTGAGTTTGGTTGCCACAAGAGAAAACATAATGTAGATTTGCTTCAAATATAGCTTTCTCAGGAAAAAAGTATCTGAAGCAACATTCATGGCTCTTTACAGGATGAAGTAAAAAATGAAATCAATGTCATGAACCAGCTGAATCACGTCAACCTCATCCAGCTATATGATGCCTTTGAATCTAAAAATGATATTGTACTTGTCATGGAATAGTAAGTGTGTTCTTGTCTTTTCCTTTCTGTGTTTACTGCTTTTGCTAGAATTGTCAATTTCCTTCTTGCTTTCTCCTGAAATGAGAAATAGAGCTTCTTACAGGTAGAAAATATATATGTTCTCATGAACAGGAAAAAAAGGGATTTTAAGAGAAAAATTTTCCCATGCAGCCATTTTTGCATTTTTTTTCCAGGAGTCTGCCACACTCCTGGTGCTGTAAAGCAACGGCTCCAATTGAAGATAGAGCTGTGTTACATATCTTTAATTTAATACTTTAATTTGTGTCAGCCAAGAAACAAACCTCTTAGAATATCTCCTATTCTGGGAGGCAAACAAGAAGACATCTTGCACCAAAGAGGAGCCAGATGTGTCCCTAGTCCTTCTATTGGGTGCCTGAAAGGATAAACCTGTTTTTTATGCTGCGTTATCAGGCTAATTAGGCACAAAATACCTGCCTTAAGCTCAGGTTAAACAGATGTTGTCTTAAGGAAGCCAAAAAGGCCAAAACTAAAACATTGAAATGTGTGGCAGAAGGGTTCAATGTTAGGTGAATTTGACTATTCTGGACATTCTCAGATAGTACTCTGAATTTGGTCTATATGATTAACATATCAGAAAAGTATCTCTGCACCTATGAACAGATAAGCTAGAGGCATACTGAAATGTGAAGATAAATTAAGTAAATTTTGTTGACTTTAGATTGTTTGAGATAGACCTTTTGGATCCTGTCCCTCTTAAACTCAGAGGGGAGAGACCACAGATTTAAATGCAGATTCTCCATCGTGTTGTCTTGGTTTTCCGTGGAATGTCATTAATTTCATTGGTCCAAGAGGAGAACGCAAGACAGCGTAATATTAAATTTCAGGATGTTCATGGTTTTCTGTGGATGAGACACTGGACTCTTAGGCCTTGAAGAGGTTCAGGCCAGTATGCATCAGAACTCAGATTTCAGAAAGTTCAGATTAAAGTACAAGCTCATCTTACTGAACTTGACTGTGAATGATAAAAATAGTCAATAGTGTATTTTCTGCACTAGTCTTACTGTATGGGATGGGATTTGAACATGGTCACTGCTTTATTGTCTTTTTCTCCTCAGTGTGGAAGGAGGAGAGTTATTTGACCGAATTATTGATGAGAACTACAATTTGACAGAGATGGATACAATCTCGTTCATAAAACAGATCTGCAAGGGAATTCAGTACATGCACCAAATGTACATTCTTCATTTGGATCTCAAGGTAGCGTTTTGAGATATATGTTTTGTGCAATGACAGATGTGGAAATTCCATTCTTAATGGTAGGACATAAAGCTTAGCAGATTCCTGTGGCAGAAACAACAAAGAGCCTTATTCTGCTTTCCTTATTTCAATGCATATTTACTTTAACCACATTGAGATCAGTTAAATTACTACAGGACTAAGTAAATTAGATGAAAATTGTGGTCATATGTCATCAGGCTTCATAGTGCTTAAATTTTCCACAGAGTGATTTCATAGAAAGCCACAGTTGACTACAAATAGTTTCTATTTTTAATTTCAATACTTAGATCCCAAGGTATTGTGCAAATATTATTTAATTCAACTGCACAAGATGCATGTTTTATGCATCAGCTGTAGGGTGGCAATTGTCATGAGTGAGTAGAACTAAATCAAGGGTCATTCAGGATCAATGTAAGCCCACACAGTTTTCTGAGGACTACACTCAACTGCTGTTGTCATGAAAAGGCACCAATAGATAGCCAGATTAAGGGAAAGTACATTTAACAGTACTTTCTGAAATGAAAGCAATAAAAACAGTCAGTGGTTAATGTAACGAATATGACAAGTGTAGCTGTAAATCCAGAGAAAGATGGCAGATTCTCTACCATGGACTTGCACATGTACAAGTACTCTACCGTGTACTTGCACATTCTCACTCTGGTCAACTGCAAATGGTCAACTGCCACCCCTTAGAAAACATTTGTTATTATTTTTCATTGAAGTGTACACTTGATCTGGGTCTTTTTCCTTCAGCCCAATTTTTTTATTAAATAATGGACTTGTTTCCTACCTCTATTCAGTGCAGGAATAAAATGGGATGATGTCTTTAGTTTTATGACTGGCTAGAAAGCTTCCTAGAGATCCCTGAGCTTTACAATACAATAAAAAGAAGCAGGGAGTGCACAAGATGGTTTTCTCTTCGGTGAAATTTTTATAACAGCTGCTGCTTTTGGCTTGTAATGACTGAGTTAATATAGTACATCTTTAATGTTGTTAGCATGCATATTATTGCACTGGTTAAGGAAATGAGCAGATGCTTGTTGGGACCTGCTTCTGTAGCCGATCGATGACCAGACTTACTTTTCTCTTTCTCTATAAACATCCAGTTACCTAGAAACCTGTCAAACAGAAGTTCACACAGTTCTTTGGGACACATTAGTTATGATCTTGAGATGGCACAGTTTTAATATGAGGTCAAACTGCTGACAAAAAGATACATATACAATCCAAGAAATTAATCCCAAAGACCTCTTTTCATGTGCTCGCCAGCTATGGCTTCTCCCTTCTGTTTTGCTTGTTCATAGGTTGCTGTCAGTAACAAATGAGTTTGGGAAAGAAAGCTTGAAATTGAAAGAAAATCGTCTTGACCATAATCATCCAGGACCTCAGAAACTATGGACAGATGGTGTTTAAAAGTCCTACATGTAAAATGAATTAGTAATGGTGACAAAGGTTAACTAATGTTTTAAGTGTTGAGGGCTGTTTTGTTTCAAAGACGACTCACTGAGCAACAAGACAGAGTAGCTATAAAAGTGCTGGCAGTGAATATAGGACTGTGCTTTAGGTATTTACATTTCAAAGACAATTGGCCAAATCCTTCTCTCAGTTCCTTCTGTAAGAATTTGGAGTAATTCTTGGAAGTTAATGTATTCCTGCCAGGAAAGTGAAGAGTAACATTTGGCCCCATGAAAATCCAAAGAGATTTAACCTGTGAATCCTATTTTTTGCTAAAGCACCTGAAGAAAACATAAAGTTGATGTGACTGGCTTAATATATTAATGTTCAATCTGACAGAACATTTGAGCACTCAGAAATGTAAAGCTTCAAGACAAATTTCAAAGCCCAAGAAATTTAATTAGAAAAAAAAATCAGTGTGAGCATATTAAGGTCTGTAAAGTCACAGTGAAAGCATCCTGAAACCCCTTCTTGTATATCTGCATTCCCTGTCCCCCTCCCCCTAATGACTTCTTTATCTGAACTGCTGCCTTATGTCAAAGTGAAAAGCTGTGGAGTAGAAAAAGCAGTTGGAAGGCAAAAAGTGCATGGCTCTGATTGCTGTGTGTGGCAGCAAGAGGGGTATCCATGCAGAGAGATCTGAACAAGGAGGAAAGCAGAAGGTGGTTATGAGATATTTGCACTGTTATTAGTGTTTTTCTCCCTATAGTTACTGAAAGCCCAGTTTTTCATATTTGTTTCTCATTCAAGTTTTTTTTCCCTTTTTTTGTTTCTCTTGGCAGCCTGAGAATATCCTGTGTGTGAACCGAGAGGCAAATCAAATAAAAATTATTGATTTTGGATTGGCAAGAAGGTACAAGCATGTGTTCTCACTAACCATAAATGAATTAGGAAACAATGAAAAGAGTGTTGCATCCCTGCAATGATGTATTTGATACGTAATGGTCTTCTACTGTTCTTAGGACAAATTTGTTTCTTTTAACCAGGGATATCTTATAATATGGAATGTTTGGAACTGAATGAAAAAGATTTGTCTTGAAACCTTCTTTTCAGGTGGATGGTTGAAAGAGGGCTGATTTTCACTAAGAATGCATATAAGTATCTTGGAACAGCTAAAATGGACAAAACCAGTGGAGCATCTTTTCTAGTCTCTTGTCTCCAGTATTATGAGATTCTTCAAAAGAGACTGTAAGATACCATTGAGGGCTCTTACAGTATATCCAATGCTATATCCCTTTCTAGTTTAATTAGGTGCTATAACCTCAGTGAAGGATTTACTGGTTAAACATTTCATGCCTATGATATGGAGAAGTCCCAAAAGGATGGTAAGACAGGCTCTGAGAAGTCCTTGAATTACAAATTTCTTCCTTTTTGTAGCAATTGCATTTTGTCCTAGTAGGATACAAAGCTTGAAAATACTTTTTGTTCTATATGTGGGTATATATTTTTTTAGTTTGTGCCTCTGTCTGTCCTTGTTTTCCTACTGAATTTTCTGTATGCTTCTGGAATTCCTCTAAGTGCTAGACAATTGATGATGGAACTTTAATAAGAACTAGAATTGATGTCCTTTGTTAATGTTTCCATTTCCTAGATATAAACCCAGGGAAAAACTTCGAGTTAACTTTGGGACTCCAGAATTTCTTGCTCCTGAAGTTGTGAATTATGAGTTTGTCTCTTTTCCTACAGACATGTGGAGTTTAGGAGTCATTGCTTATATGCTGTAAGTAGGATTCAGTATCTGCTTTGGAAGCTGTTTCTGGGTTGAACTGTGTCAGTCATCTAAGTTTGTTGTTATACTGGAAGAGTGAAAAACTGTGTACTCAAAATAGGAAATTTAGACTTCTTTCCTAGTTCCATATTGAGAAATCTCTCCTCTTTTCCAATTGCCATGAACTGTTTGTCTTTGTTTTTTTTTGCACATATCTCAGGAGTGTTTGGGCATCACACTTCCAGAATAATGTAAGCTGCTTGGTAAATTCCCAATGGTTAGTACAAGACTGGTCAGAGGTCTAGAAAATATGAAAGACAGTATTGCCATGAAAGACAATAATGCTTGGTATGCTAGAGAAGAGGGGTAATTAAACATGTAAATAGATGAGAAAATGGGAATGGTCTGGGGACCTTCTTAGAGAGTAATATTTTGTAAGTTAGGCCAGAGTGACAGAACAATCTTAGCTGGCACACTGGAGAACCATGTACAGGAAGAGGGAAAGACAGGAGGACTGAACATATTCCTTTTTATTTCAGCCTCACTGGATTGTCTCCTTTTTTGGGTGATGATGACAATGAGACCCTCAACAACATCCTGGCCTGTAACTGGGATTTTGAAGATGAGGAATTTCGAGATGTTTCTGATGAAGCCAAAGATTTCATATCAAAGCTTCTCATCAAGGAAAAATGGTATATAATCCTGTATCTTTGAAATGTGTATGTCATGCCATCATGACACATCTGTGTCACTTGTGCTGCTCCACTGCAGAACTAATATGACTTATAAGATTTTTATACCCACATAAAGTATTATAATGACACTTCATTGATGTTGTTCATTGTATCCATCAAATGCTCTGAAATTACCTGAATACATTTTTGATGTGAATCAAAACTTAATTAGTCTGCTGTCTGTCATACTGTTCTGAAATGACAGTGTTGCAAGATGGCAGAACACATGACCTGTAGCAGATAATTGCTGAATTGTAAGATTCTGGGAAAAACTCTTAATAGCATTCTGGTTTTCCTCTAGCTGGAGATTAAGTGCAACTGCTGCCTTAAAACACCCATGGTTAACAGACCACAGGCTCCACTGCAGACTCCAGGTCCCTACGTTTAAATACCCTTGTGCATCTACTGTTGCCCTCTTGTGCTGCCACATTATGTTGCTTTGACATTTTTCTTAACTTCATTTGACTCCTTGCTGCTGATTCATTTCTTGCCACTGTGAGCCATGTTTGTCCCTTTGCTTTTTTTTTAGCTGTTAGAATTTGCATGCTCACATTTGCTCATCAGTTCTTGCATGTCTGGGAAGAAATAAAAGATCCTGCAATGCTGTGTGTTTTTGGGTGGATCAATTTCTCATCAAAAGGAAAGTATTTACAAAATGAGCACTGAATTACCATATGAAAAAAATTTTCCAGCTAGGGACGATTCTTGTTCCTGCTTTGAAAACCCTTTCAGGCTCTCCTGAAGATCCCCCGAGTGCTGTTTCATCCTACCTCTTCCAAAGAGATACCTTTCCCAACAGAGCTTGGAACTTCACCTGGTGCATACCTTGGTACTTCAACACCTTCTTGCCCTTCAGTGGTAGCCAGTTTAGTGGCCAACACAGAAGAAGTTGTTTGCTCAAGTAAACAATTCAGTAGGGCTGAGTTGGAGGAGCAACAAGATTTAAAATCATTTTGGTTATTCCTGTGTCAGTAATTTTTGGAGATTCACACTGTTGGTGACACCTCTGTTGGCTGTTTCTAAGTGAGTCCTCCCCTTGGTTCAGTGGTTCACAAGGGGATAATTTTAAGCAGTTTTCAGAATTTTTACAGCAGTCAAAGTGCAATATTCACTTCTTCCTTTGCAGGCAAAGCACTTCACAGTTAAATAAAATGACTGCAGTATTGCCTAGGATGTATATGTCAAGATTCATTTTCATATACAGCCATCGTTAAGAATTAATAGATGATATTAATTATTAACAAGATAATGTTATTAAAATAAAAAAATATTATGCTAATCAAGCAGTTGTAGCCCTACTGGTAAGGCAGTGGGATGGACTGAACAGTATCTTGTCAGCTCTGTCCTTGTAAGATGTTCCCATTATAGACTAGGATACCCAGAATTACTATAAAATAGGATATAAAAAAATCAAATAAATTACTCAAATTTTTACTTAAATTTAGTTTTTGTTGTTATCTCCCAGAACAGCAATGCCCATGATATTATCAGAAGATTTGTAAGTTAGTGTGCACAGTAAAACTAGGAGAGCTTGTCATGGTTATCTTCAGAGATTTTTGTAGGATATAATTTGACTCCTTTAGTTGGGCTCCCGTGAGGCTCTGATTTCTGCAATCTGGAGAACAGACAGTCTTTTCCAAATGCTGCAAGAACACAAACTGCTGTCCTTCCTATCACCATGTTTTTTGCCTCAGGAAACCCTACCCTAATGCAAACTTTACAGCTCATGTTGTCCTTTGCATCTTCTCCCCCAATATTTTTTATTCATACTTGTGCTTTGCAAAATAGCTTCACTAAACATGCTGATGTTGCAGTGTTCTTCTGCCATTACCTTAAGTAGAAGTAAGATGTGATTGATCTTCAATTAGTGCTCCAATAACGGTGTCTTTTCTTTTTTTTCCCCTTAGAGAAAGGCTAAAGGTGACTGTGTGTCTCAAGCACCCCTGGCTAAATAACCTCTTTGAAAGAGCTGCCAAACAGAAGGTTTGTTTCAGGTCCCAAATGTTCCTTCAAATGTAAAAGCTGTAGCCCCTGTGGAAGGGATCAGTGGACAGCTGAAAACCTTGGGTAGTACAAAGTGCACGGTCCAAACTGTATTCACCACCACCATCCCTGCTGCTGTCTGGAAAGCATTCAAAATGTAAACTGTTTCTATTACTCAGACCAAGTAACAGCAATGTGCAAAATAATTAATAGGTATGGAGCCATATGTGCTGCAAACCCTGGCCATTTTAGAGGGAATGGTTATGCTCCCACTGGCTCTCATGGGGCAGGGATTTCACCCAATAATTTTTCAGTGCTGAAAGCTTTCGGGTTTTCATGCTGTGGTTATAAGTACAATTTTTAAAAGGGTAGAAATATGAAAAATAATAACTTTTTAGCAGAGGCACGGGCCAGACCCTCAGGGCAGCTTGATTAACTGTAGCGAAATCAAAGCAAGGTGACCCCTAAAAGAAGCTGCTCCACACGTCTGAGGACACAGTTCTGACAGGGCACTTACCTCCCCTTTTACCAACCCAAATGAGTCTGACAGAGCATCTCTCTGTCCTTTCTCCCTGGCTCCTTGTCTTTGCCCTTTCATTAACAAACAGTTCATTAGTGGTTTTCAGGCTGGCTTGGTTGCCTCCCTGGGGGATGAGGCAGACTCAAGTCTGCTCTCTTTTTCTGTCCCTGGTCTTTGACTCACTTGGCCACTTGGAAATCGCGCTGCCTCAGGCGCTGCAGTGTCTCCATAAACCAGTACTCCACTTCCCACCGCCACTTTCACCAATTACCACAAAAATTGGTGCCTCTGTTCAGGGACCAGGGGAACTGCTCAAAGGTTCTGGAGGCCATCTCTGGGCAACACTCAGTGGAGGTTCAAGATGTGAATTAGGCTGAGAACACACACATACACTGTAAAACCACTTCCTTTTAGTAGTGCGTCATGAGTAACAACAGGATGCCAAAATAAAAGTAGTCCACCTTTCACCACTTGCCAAAAGGCAAGTTTTTAATGGTGCCATCATCCATCATCTGCTTGGTCGGACAAGTGATATACTGGCTTTTTTTGCAACAAGTTTTTTCCAGGAACATGTTGAAAACAGAGTATTGTGAGAGGTTGAAATTTTTGTTCTAAGTAAGATTAGAGCAGATTTTATACAGCGTAGTGGAATAACACAGAAGGTAATGATCATTACATGAGCTATTTCAAAAACATGAAGATGCCTTTCAGTGCATACAGTGGAAGCCAGTAAGTACTAAGGTACCATTCTCACATCCCACTTGCTTTCTGAAGCCATGCAACTTCCTGATATGGTAATCTGAACATCAGCTTCTGGAGAAGAAATCCAGTGGGAATTTATACCTCTTTGTGATCCTCAGTATGCACCCTCACTTCACTGATGCTGAGACAGATTCCATGGAGCTTTGGTCCACTCACCTGTGTGCTTCTACACAGTAGATTTCTAAACAGGTTTTCCAGCCCTGTTGCAAGATTAGTGCTTGTATCTGGGTTTCCCATTTCAAGCCACTAACTTGCAGCAACAAACGCAACAACAAAATGGTGAAAATTCTCCTCTGTAATGCAGGAAGCGCTGCATTACACAATTCTCTGTTACAACCAAAGTCAACTTTAAGATAAATTGACTGTCCAACAGCAGTCAAAATTATTTTTAAATAAACTTTTAATAGCTTTGTAACATAGTAACCTACCCATGATCTAACTTGCAGGAAAATCTGGTTTTGGCTTTTGCAGTGTTATTTCCTCTGAGTGTGTTTTTCTTTTTGGAGTTTATTTGAGTTTACTTAATGAGTGGATCTAAAGTCATAGCTGTGCTTTATTTTTAAAGAATCCCTTTAGCTATTTTTATCGGGCAAGTAGTATGGTTACCACATTTAACCCAAAATAATGCACTCAAGTTCCAGTTGATTTAAACCTGGCATTATAAATGCTTGCAGTGGTAACACAAATAAATGGAGAGGTTTGCAGCATGCCTTTGCATACCGTGATCTGCATGATAAGAGAGGTAAAAAAAGCAGAGTTGCTGCATTTAAAGAGATACCTCCAGGATCAATTCTCCACTTAACAAAGATGCCTTGTCTTTTTAATATTGTGTAAAATATTTCACAGAAAAGGTGGCTGCAAGAATCCTTTGTAAGCAAGAGGCTTCAGTGCTGCTTTTTTGCACAAAGAAACCACCCTGTGGTCATCCCAGAACACTTAACCAAATGGAAAAGATATATTGCTGAATTAACTGGATTCTTGTTTTGTTTATTTTGCAGAAAAGCTGCTGTGTGGTTACTGCTGCTAAGAGATTTAAAAATATCAGTGGTCTCGGTGCTTTAACCCCCTGCCATGACTGAGACTTCTACTAAATGGACCAACAGCACTTTAGTTGCAGGACAAGTCCCAGCATTGTGGAGCTGCTTCTTCTCCATTCAGCTGTTAAAAGAAGGAAAGTATTTCTCCGTGTTGCAGGAACGTGTTTCTTCTGAAGCAGCACGTTCTCCATGCCTGCAAGTGCTACATTAGCTTGGTGTCATAATGAACTTTTCTCTATCTAGTCTTATGTCCTCATTTACTTATGAAAGGCTCCTTGAAGTTTAAATTATCATGTAAAATTAACTGTTTCTCATTTGAGCCCAGAAGGCAATCTGTCACTATGTTATATCTCTAGCCAAGGTTCATTTGACACTAGAGTCAAATAATTAAAAAAAAAAAAAAAACAACCCAAAACCCCAAACAATTGCAGCAAATTGAAAGGTGCCTTCGGTAGAACATTTGAAGTTTGTTTTTCCTGTCACACTAAAATGAGTTAAGGATTAGGTCAGCCCATGTTAAAGCCATGTTAATGTAACACCAGTGGAAGGGAGAAATGAGGCTTTCCTTGTGTACAGGTGAATTTGCTGTGACTGTGGTACAGTACATTTCACAATTTTTTGGCTTGATGAATTACTGCTCGCTGTAAATACACTTGTATTAATTAAACAAGAAAGAGAACAAGGCACTATTCACTTGTACCCATGCAGACCCTGTTCTCCAAAATGTAAATATAATTCAGAGTTATTTTAACAGAGAGTGATTTTATATCAGCTAATCTTTTTTAATGCTAATTTAACTGATTAGGACCACTGGCAAAGAGAGGAGTCAGTGCTTTGCTCATTATAACCTCTGAGTACAGGCTCAAGTAAAAATCCTCTGTATTTCCAGTTTTCTTATCTTGCTCCCAAGCCTTTCTGATTTTTAACTAGGTTAAAAAAAAAGGAGTCAGAACAGTTGAATTCTTCACCTGAAATTTTTTGATTATGGCTCATCATTAAGTGAATCTAAGTTGCCAAGGCTGTGAACTTAAAATAATGAGACTTTCTGCTGTATATGGCTTTCTTACAGCTTGGTTTCAGAACTACAGAAATGCAAATTGTAATGAGCATTTTATTTAATCATGCTGTTGTGGTGTCTTTACACTGTCTTTGCTTAATCCAGTTCTGATCAAACCACATATTAACATAGCTATCTCTATATATTTATCTATGCATTTCATATGTTTATATATTTAAGTTCTGTCTTTTTAAAAAAGGGATCAACATAAAGACAAAACAATATTATTCATCAACACGCAATGAATTGCTTCTCACACCTTTGTCCTTTCTGGATGGCATTAATTTTGAAATGAGAAGGGGCCCATTAACGGGACATCATGGCCATCACACTCTCTGCAGCCAGTTTGATCCAATGATTTGAAATTATTGTAGGACATCCCTTAAGACTGGTCCTGTAAATGAACTGGGCTTCTTAAAACTGTGACATCTTAGGAATACTGATGTGTTGCACCAGAGGTTGCAAATACTGCTATTACACACTGACTACATGTGCTACACACCATGTAGCTTTTATATGACATAGAGCACTGCCACCTTCAAATCCTCATTTGTAGTCTTTACTAAAGTAAACTGTGCCAAGCAGAAATGGAAGTTTCTTTGGGAAAAGACTAAGCGGTCTCAAAGTAGGAAAATGAGCATATGACTTCTAGGTAGAAGCTGGGCTGCTTGTTTTTAGTCACCATTTATATTTGTCTGGTCAAAATGAATAGAAAAGTTGCCTTTCTGTTAGGGTTGGAGTTCCCACTCCCGTTCTGACTGTCTTCAAGATATTGTAGCTTCTTGTACAGCACACAACTCAATGATCAGAATAAAATGCAATTCTGTTTGGAATTACAGGATCTCATTATGCACTTTAGTGCCACTGTAGAATTGGATCAGGGTTTTGTTTTTCCTTTGGTAGATTTTACATGGATAAATTGCATGTAATGTAGAATCTTATTAACTATACTAAAATAATAGTGTGACTGCAGTCTTTTCTGCTTTGTTGCTCAGTTGAATTAAGAGGATTTATTATTTGTTGACATATCCATCTGAGTAGTAATTAAGAGCCTAGTGCCGCGAAGATCAGCCCTGTGTTAGAGTGTGTTGCACTGAATGAACCGCAAATCCTCCAAGAGCTGTAGGAAAATGTGGCCTCTGTTGAGAACATCCCCCAAGTTCATTTGTACACTGCTCTGTCAGATATAGGAACGCATGGGAGGATAGAAGAGCTGGACATATTTCCCCTCCTTTTAGAATTTAGGTATGAGTTGAGGAGGGGACACCTCAGCAGTCTTTGTCTTGTGCTACTGGGCAGTGTGCTAACACAAGGCATTTATCTTCCATTCTTCTTGATAGTGGTGGTCCCACACTGGAGTCCTGTCTGTAAATTGTCCCACTGTTTCATTCTTAGAACAGCTCCTGCAGTAGGGGCTGAATTTGAGGGAGGGCCAGTCAGAGGAGGTTGGACTGAACAAGTCTCTGCAGTGACTGAAGGTGCCATTTGGTGCCCAGGGTTAACCCCAAGTGGGCCTGCAGGTGTCCAGTGGAGGAGGAAAGAATCCCAAGTGCACTTCTGCTTTTTGCTCCAGTGGTGCTGGATGTGCAGCACTGAGTGAAAAGGGAGGTGCCTTACCTAGGGCCTCACTGTCACCAAGGGTAAAAAATTATACTGCTGTGTAATCATCACTGCTGTGTATAGCAATGTGCCTGAGAAAAATGTCTCAGAGGTGTTCCTTTGTGTCTTGTATCCACTTCAACATGAGAAAGAGCTTCTTTATACTGAGGGTGGCAGAGCACTGGAACAGGCTGCCCAGGGAGATCAGGGGGTCTCCCTCTCTGGAGATGTTTCAAACCCCCCTTGATGTGCTCTTGCGTCATCTGCTTTAGGTGACCCTGCCTTGGCAAGGGGGTTGGACTGGACGATCTCCGGAGGTCCCTTTCAACCCTAAAAATTATGTAATTCTGTGATTCTGGGATCTTTCCTGGCTGTTGTAATTTTGGTAAATAATAGCTTGAGACAGATTCTTTTCAGTGGCTTCCTAATTGTGTCTCATTTCACATTGAGCAGCATGCTGTTTTGTGTGTGTGCTCACATATGCAAGTTTGATTTGCATTCTGTTTTACTTTGCCCTGCCTCTGGAAACATTCTAGGGAGAGTTGGACAGGCCTGTAATCAACCTGGTCAAGTGGGAGACCTCATTTCTCATTGCAGGAAGGTTGGACTAGGTGACCTTTAAAGGTTCAGTCCAACTCAAACTATTCTATGATTCTATGATTTTATGATTTTATGATTTAAGTATGCTCTGTAATGACTAATAGCTAAGTTCTGCTGTGTTAAATCATTGTTTTGACACATCATCATTTATTTTCTACTATGTCATAATAATACTAAGGCTACTAGGGTCTAGTAAGTCACCTATATCTGTGTGAGTCTGCTTATAATTTTTGCTGCATATTGGCTTATGTGATTGTATTTGGAAACTGTGAATTGCTGTGCTTGTGAGCAGGTTTGGGTGTGAAAGGCACTGTTCTAGCTGCTTTTATTCCATTTCACTGTATTTTCATGGACAGACAGGGGTGACTGCAGGTACCTCAACAGTGGTATAGAAACATCAGTTGCAGTGGGAGGGATGAAGTGCCCAGACGCAGTGCTTGTCTTGTGCATTCTTCCTGACATGTAAAAATTAAAAAATAAAATCCTGGGAACATGACAAGTATCACCTGACACTCATAAGAATCAGGACACTGTCATTCCCACTCCTATAGATGCAGCAGGTATACTGGATGCCAGATATACTGGAGTAGTCTAAGACTGACATCAAGATTAGAAGCAAATATACTTGGCACAAGATGGGACACCAGTGGTTTTCCAACTGCTTTTATATGTTGAACATCCTGAAGATTATGAAATGGGTAAAAACTTCTGCAGAAAGATCTCCATGCTATCATGTCCATGTTTGTATACACCTGCAGCTAGTCACTCCTCTGGGTACCCACACAGCATAAGCAGTTGGAAACCTGGACAATCCACTCTGGAGATTACAAGAGCAGCTGATTTTTAATTTTGTTTTTATATTACCTCTAATATCAGGAGATGAATAAAGTTAAAGCCAAGCTAAATTCTTGATTCTAACCAGGAATGACAGGGTAGGTCACAAAAATAAATGAGGGAAGTGCTAGAACCACCTTTTGTGATGTGAGTAGTAGAAGAGCCCAGTTTAACCACTCCGCCTTCCTGCCAAAAGTATCTACTTTGCACCAGTCCTGATCAGTAAAAATGAAAGGAATCTTAATCTTTTTAACAGTGAAGGAATCTCAATCAAGAAACAGGTTTTCTGCAGTGGTTAAATTGCTGCAGTAAAAGTCAAGTTATTTTAGTATTTTCAGTTTAGTGCTGACACTATAAATCACTGACAGCCTCTTTCAGCAAAATGGCCCCCACCAGGAGCTGTGAGAAATGAAGGTGTTTGTCAGCTCTCCTACACTAATGGAAACCTAGAAACATTGGATTCCATTCCTCTGGATCCAGTGAGCAGGGCAATTCTTAGCTTTTGGACTTCTGATGTGTGGTAACGGATGCAGTTCTGCACCCGGAGTAGTGATGAATGGATGAATGAGCACTGTTGCTCCAAACTCCTTCCAGGAGGATGATGCATCTTCACATACTACTTTTATCACTGACACATACTTGTTCTTGTGTCTCCTGTGAATAAAACTAAACACTGCATGGATCTGTTTAGGAATGCTAGACTGTTTCACCTTCCATGAAGGCTTGGTAGCTGAACAACTAACTACCTGTTTCAAACTTAGATGAAGACTGGTAGAGATGGTGCTTTGTAAATATGTTGTGTAGCTGTGTCTGTAGATTTGGTGATCTCATTTTGGTGTGGCAGAACTAGTGTTTGTGTACCCCACAGCAACTTCCCTTGAATTTAGAGGACAGGTATGTGGCAACTAAATCATGGAGCATGCGGATTTTCATGTACCTTATCACTTTGGTTTGCATATCTGGTTTTGTAGATTAACTCATGTATCTCTGGTATGTGTTCTTTTGTGAAAACCATGAAGCAATCTTGTAAAAAGATGAATAAGGAATAAATGCTGATTTTGTTTACTCCAGGGTTTTTGTTTGCTGTATTTAATGTGCCTGTCATTTATATTAGTGACAGAAAGAAGTACGGCCTTTTTCCCAACTGCTGCCTCTAGATATGTGAAAAGTAATTTCCATTGAAACAAATGTGCCTACGTCAAAGGTTGACTCAGGCTCACAGTCTGTACTCACTCCTTGTAAGAAAACCTCAGCGCTCTCTGCAAGTAACTGGGACTTGAGGTGCTCTTGACTGCAGTCTTGCTGGAAGTCCTTAAGACCAGGTTACTAAGGAGGAAATTAGAAATTACTGAAATT